GGAAGGGGGCCCTGCGCATGTCTCTCCTGCCCTGTCAACAGGAATCACTGCGGCTCCTTGCAGTGTGTCAGCGTCCTGGTCTCCGGGTATGAGCAGAGCCCAGTTCTTGGGTCTGGGTGGGAGTCTCCAGGAAAAACCCAGGGTGCCTCCCAGAGCCAGGGCACTAGGGGTGCTGTGGTGCACCCATCAGTGGGGCCCTGAGGTTTCCGGGCCATTCTGCAGTGGTGGCTGTTGATGAGGGAGGCTCCAAATCCCACCCAGGTAAGTGCTTGGCATTTCCCGTCTGCCCCAGGGGTTGGTGTTGAAGTTTCTTTTCTCTTGGGAAGAAGGTTGACCAAGTTGTCTCTCTCCCAACCCTGAGGCGTTCAGACTGCTATAGGAATGCACTCACGTGTACTCTAAACACCAATAGGGATGACCCTCTTGTGTGCACAGCCTTCTGTAGTTTAGGAAGTACCTCCAAGGCCATCTACTTTAGTTCTCATATCAGTCCAGGGTGGGTAGATGAGTATCAGGCTCAGAGAGGGGGTCCAGTCGAAACCTAAGTCCCTGCCATGCACTGCAATTAGTAATATGGTATTAAGTAGTGTGTACAAGGTCACCAGCTGGTCAGGGACTTCACTGTGACCAGCATTGGGGATTTTCCTCCCAGAAGGACCCTAGCCAGCTTTGGAGCTGGGCCAGGCCCAGGGTCGGGTGCTGGGGATCTGGGAATGAGTGAACCCTGGCCCCAGTCCCTGAGGAGCTCCTCCCCATGAGCCAGAAAAGAACCACGCTGGGGAGCCAGGAGGAGGGGCTGCCTAGCTGTACGTGGGAGGCCCCTGGAAGCTACTGCTCAGCCAGCCCTTGAGGGACAAGGTGGGGGGACAGGCACCGGCAGAGAGAACCACATGTCCATGGGTGAGGTGGCATGAAGCATCACGGGTGTTTGGCAGTCGTGGTAGATCTCTGTGGTGCCCAAAGGAGGGAGTGTGGAAGGATGAGGCTGAGAAGGTCAGCGGGGCTGCCCTGCAGGGCTTCGGCTGCCAGGCCAGGTTGCTGTGTTCGTGGTGGTTCAGAATCACATCCATAGACACCTTAGAGTGGAGAGTACAGCCTGGTCAACTCCCTTGTACCCGTCCCTTCGCTTCAACAATTGTCCACTCGTGGCCAGTCTTACTTCCTCTACACGCCCCTCCACTTCCCCCAGGCAGCATATCATTTCGTCTGTAAATGTTTCTGGATGCATCTCCGAAAGATGAGGACTCATTAAAAAATAACCATTATAACACCATGGTCAAGGGTTCGGATCCCTGTACCAGCCAGCCGCCAAAAAATGGGTAATAATAGTAATAACCACAATGCCAATATTGAAATATTTTCATATCATCAAATAGTAAGTGTTCTCATTTCCAGTTTGTGCCATAAACCTGCATACATTTTACAGTTTGCGATCCAGACAAAAGTTCATCCTTGTAATTGGTTGATTGCCTCTTCATCCTTTTATTTTTCTTGTAATTTATTGAAGAAACTGGGGCACTTGTCCTGTGGGGTTTCCCTCCATCTGGGTTTTGTTGACTGCATCCTTGTGGTGGCGTTTAACATGTTCTCTGTCCTCTGCATTTTTCCTCCTGTAAGCGAGGACTTATCTCTAGAGGCTTGTGAAGGTTCAGGTACCAAATTTTTGTTTGTTTGGCATGACTGCTTCATAGGAATTGTCGTGTACTTCATTCAGGAGGCACATGATGTCTGATTGTCTCTTATATGTGATGTTAGAAGCCATCAGTGATCATTGCCTAAATCCATTAATTCTTCAGTGGTTGCACGGTGCTGGAGTATAATGTCATTTCTTGCTCATCTCTCTCTTTTTTTTTTGTCAGCTGGCCAGTATGGGGATCCAAACCTTCGACCTTGGTGTTACTAGCACCACACTCTAACCAGATGAGCTAACCGGCCACCCTCTTCCTCGTTTCTTAGCTGGAATTCTTTTCCAGTTAAAGACTTCCCTTCATCTGCTATTTGGTTACTCTCCAGTACAGTTTGTATAGAGAAGGCAGGATAAATGTTTCTCTTTCCCTTCATTTTCCAGTTTCAAAAAAAGGAGTTGATTCCCTACCTCACTCCAATAGTGGCTAATTATTTGTTTTTTGTAAGTATCATTGTGATCTCATGACTTTGAACGTATTTGATGTGTTTTAATCCATTGCAGTTATTATCCTTACTGATGCTCATATTGGCCTTTGGCCAGGTTGGTTCCCGAATCCTTTGACATGGCCCCAGGAGTCTTTGGTGGCTTCTTTGAATTTTGGTATGGCTACATATGGTGTGGGAGGGTTTTTATTGTGTGTACACGTGAGCACACCTGCCTCGACAGTCTCCTCCCTCCTGCTCAGTGCCCTGCTGGCAGCTGAGGGGTGAGAAGGCTGGTCTGGGGCCCACCCCATGCCAGGTCCAATGATGCAGGAGTGGGAATTGAGGCCCATGGGATCCCTGCCTCTGGATCTCCAGGCCCTGGAGCCTCATTAGCTGCTTCTTGAGCCACAGAGGTTCAGGGCCAGGTCCTGAGTTTGGCTAATGATCCTCCCGAGGTCCCAGCAGTGCCTCCCAGCACCATGCAAGGCTCCCCTTCCTCCCTCCCCACACAGTCCAGAGCACTCAGAGCAGGGTGGGAGGGGCAGCAGAGGCTTCCTGTCTCTCTGTGCCCTTGGGCGGCTTCTTGCTTGTCTGTGGACTTCAGCCTTCAACCCCTGGCGTGCAACCCATTTTCAATACAGCTTCCTGTCTTGGAAACAAAGTGGGGAGAAAGCGCTAGGAGTCAGAGCAGAGCCTGGCCTGGGAGTTTTACTTAGAAAGGATGCAGAGTTGATGGAAAAGGGAGGTAAGGAGGTGGGGAAAAGGAACCAGCTCGTATTGAGGGCTTGCCAGCTTCTAGATGTGGTGCCAGGCTCTGAAGACCTGGGTTTGAATCTGTCTCCCCACCAGTGCCATGGGCAGCCTTCTGCCCATGACTTCCCGTAGCATTACCTTGAAGCTTGCTGTGAGGCTTTGGGGCGACACAGTAAACAGCCTGGCCGGGTGCCTGGCACCCAGCAGGGCTCCATTAGTGACTGTAGCACCTCTGGCTGTAGTTAGCATTTTCATTTTCTTGGTCTCAAATGTCCCACTAGGGAACATTTCCCTTTACCAACATCTGTGCTGATGGTAAGAGGCATGTAAACAAAAGCATCCCTAATGAGTGTGGGGTGAGGAGTGACTTTGGGCTAAGTCTGTGTGCTGAGGCTGAGGCAGGCCTCTGCATTTAAGGTCTCCTGGTGCATCTCTGTCTCCTCAGTGTGGATGTGCCTGACCTCTACCTGGGGTGGTTTTCTTCTAGAAGGAGCTGGTTTGGTCCCAAGTGGTCCCATGCCCAGCAGGGCCAGAAGGTCACCCCGACTTGGCAGGGTGAGGGTTTTCCCTTCCTTGCCCACCTCTTGCTGACCAGTTGCCTCTGTGTGTCCTCATCTGCCCCCGGCCAGCTCTCATTTCCCTGCTCAGAGGTGCTGCTGGCCCCCAGCGTAGGGCCCACTGCCCCCTTCTCTCAACGGCCCCACATGTATCCTGTGTTAGCCTCAGCACTTGCCTGTGTGCTGCCTCTCCCACCAGACTGGGAGCCTCTTGAGGGCAGGGACTGTGTCTGATTCATCTGGGTCCTCGGTGTCCAGCATGGAGCTGGGCAGAGCGTTCCACAGGGCTGAAGCGCTTCTCCTTTGGAGACAGACAGACCTGGCTTCAATCCTGTCTTCAAACCCAGGTCTGTCTGCCTCCAAAGAATGGGTGTGTTTTCCAGCTATGTGACCCTCTCTGAACCTCAGTTTCCCATCTGTAAAGTGGGGATGGATAATAGTAATCTACTCATGGAGTTATTGTGATAATTGCATTGAGATAATTCATGGCAGTCACAGACATGGGACCTGGCATTTCCAAGATGCTCCATAAATAATAGAGATTATTAGAGTCCCAGTCAATTTCTATGAATTTACCCATTAAGTCAACATATGCTTATTAAGCACACTCCCGCACCAGACCCCCAGCTACGTGTTAGGTATATAGCAGTGACTAAAACAAATATGTTCTTGCCCTCAGACAGCTGATGTTCCACTGATAGTATTAGATATTGAGCACAATGTCACACAGTTGTTTAATTATAATGCAGTAAAGGCAAGTGTCTCAGATGACAAGTGCCAGGGGCCATCAGACGGATGGAAGGGGTCCTGGCCTAGTCTGAAGAGTCGGGGAGGGCTTTCTGGAGGAGGAGGATGGACACTAGGGGACGAATGGAAGTCAGCTGGGTGGAAAGGAGGTGGAAGAGCAGGTGTGGAGTTTCTGACCAGAGAAAGAGCCTGGAGCAGGGAATGGGGGTTGTCGTGGGGGGAGGTGGAGAAATGGAGAGGTGGGAGGCAGAGCACATTAAGCATTTGGATCTTATTTTCCAGGTAAGTGACCCGATCGGGTTGGTCTGCTGCTTCATGGGGCAAGGGCAGGTGTAGCTTGTGGATGCTGTTAGAGTGTCCTGGCGTGAGTGGGCCAGGGTGGTGCCAGTGGGATGGAAAGGAGGAGGCGGATTTCAGAGACATGTGGGACCTCGGATTGGCCTGATCAGATGGGGGGAGGGAAAGCGCAGAGGCCTGCATGGCTGCCAGCTGCCAGCTTTTGGCTTGGGCTGGATGGTGGCTGGTGGTAGTTGTGTACAGGTGGGGGAAGATGCAGAGGGAGACATGGGGCCGGGAGGGGAAGCTCAGAGAATCTTAGAATGACGCAGCTGGAAGGAGCCTAAGGGAGCCTCCATCTCCCACAGAGATGGGGAACCGGAGGCCAGAGAAGAGAAAGATTCGCCAAGTCCCTTCTGGTTCACGGCAAAGATGGGACTCGAACCCAGTATTCCTCTCCATTCTGATTCCCTGGAGACTTGCAAGCTCAGTTCCTCAGGAAGACAGGGATGCCCCTCAATGTGTCCCCATCCTGTCCCCTGCTCTCCCTACCAGGTCATCCCAGACTGGAAGGAGCAGGAGTGGGACCCTGAGAAGCCTGACGCTTATGCGGGCATTTTCCACTTCCACTTCTGGCGCTTTGGGGAGTGGGTGGACGTGGTCATCGATGACCGGCTGCCCACGGTCAACAACCAGCTCATCTACTGCCACTCCAACTCTCGCAACGAGTTCTGGTGTGCTCTGGTGGAGAAGGCCTATGCCAAGTAGGTGCCGGCAGTGGGCGGGAGGGCGGCCAGGCTGGGCTGGCTCTGCTGATGGGCTCTACCTGGTGTTCCCTTAGCCAGGGCTCCAGGCACAGAGAGGCGAGGGACTGGTGCAAAGACACACAACGTGCTCAGAGCCCAGGCCCACGGGCATAGCCAGCTGAGCCTGCGCTGGGTGAGGTGGAGGTCTGGGCCCCATGAGGGGAGGAATATTTACTTACAGAAGAGAAGACTGAGGCCAGGCATGTGTCCTGCAGGTAGTGGGGAGAGAGGGGGACAGGGACTCACATTCAGGATCCTTCCCAAATGTTCTCACTGCTGAGCCCTCCCTAGGACCTTTGTTGGGGATGTAATAACTCAGAGACCCACAATGGGTTGTGGAGGGTGGGCCAAATGCCTGCCTTCCCTGCTTGCTAGGCCCCTTTGTCCACCATCTGTCCATCTGCCTGACTGATTGTCCGTCTGTGCTATCTTTGCTGATCCCTCCTCCTGCACAGAGCCTGGCACAGAATGGGCACAAGCTAAAGTGCTGAGCGTGGAGGGCTGTGGGGCAGAATGACCTGCCCAGGCCCTTGCAGAGCTGGGGCAGGCCTGGGGCAGGAGGTCCAGTGGGACTTAGCCACTTGGTGGGAGCCACTCCCTGGGTCCTCCTCCCAGGCCCATTTGTCAGTCTCTTTGCAAAGTGTGTGTGTTGCTGGGGGTGGGGTAGGGGGGCCGATGGGACGGGAGGGAGAGGAGAGAGGGGACGAAAAACAAAAACTCCCAACATCAAAAACAAACCCAAGAAAACAACTTTGGCAGGCTCCGTTTTTAATCCTAACAAAGCAAAGCTCGGCCCCTGGTGGCCACCAGGTCCTCACCACCCTTGGTGCAGGCCGCCCTTCCCCCGCTTCAGGAGGGCCGACTCAGCGGTCTTGCTTATCTGTCTAAAAAAAACAAAAACAAACAAATAGTCTTACCAGTCTTATCGTGGCAAAATATACATAGCTCAGCCCTTCTTGTTTTAACCAAGTGTAAGTCCACAATTCAGTGGCATTTACATTTTACGCTCACGGTGCTGTTGGCCGTCATTGATATCCAACACGTCATAATCCCCAGCAGAAACTCTGTACTCACTAAACAGTGGCTCCCTCTTTCCCCTCCCCCACTCCCTGGGAACCTCTATTCTGCTTTCTGTCTTTATTAATTTGCCTATTCTGGGTAGCCAAGGTCCATCCATGTTGTAGCATATATCACAATTTTATTCCTTTTGATGGCTGAATAGTATTCCATTGTATGTATGTGTCGCGTCTCCTTTATCTGTCCATGGACACTTGGGTGTTTGCACCTTTTGGCTACTGTGATTAGTGCTGCTGTGGACATTAGTGTGCAGATGTCTGAGTCTGTGCTTTCAGTTATTTTGAATATATATCTAGGTGTGAGTGGCTGGGCCAGTGGTAGTTCTGCGACGGTACTTCAAAAAGTTTGTGGAAAGATTCATATTATCTTTTAATTGTATTTTTCCACAAACTTTTTAAAGTACTCTTGTATGTTTAGCTTTTTGAGGAACCACCGAACTGTTCCACAGTGGCTGCACCATTTTATGCTTGTTTGTTTTTTACATTTATTTACTTTTTGAATTATAAAGTGAATATATGCCTGTTATAGCAAATCCAGAAAGTATAGAAAACCATGAAGAATATACTCCTGCGTATTCTCCCAGCCCCCTGCTTTGCCCTCCCCTTTCTGGGCCATCCGAGTTGAGCAGGTGCCTGCCCCGTGGCCGCCCCCATGCCGTGTCTCCATTTACCCCCTTGCTCTCTGTGCCCCTCTCCCCAACCCTTCCCCTCACTGACAGCTCTTTTCACATCTTTGATGCATTTCTACTTGTAGGCAACCTAGCAAAATCCATGTTGCTGTTTTGTGGGTATATATTTTCTTTCTTTCTTTTTTTTTTCAAGTTTCTGTAAAGATTTTATTTTGCACAGAAGAGAGAAAGGGCTCAGTCCTTGGCAGCCGCTTTCCTCATGGCACCCCGGGACGTTGCTCAGCTCCTCTTGCTTCCTCTTGGCACAGATATATGTGTCCCCACCCTTTTCTTGATGGACTTGAGGGCCTGTTTGTCCTTGGAGACCTTGAGCAGCTCCATGGTATATACAGCCCTTGGAAGGGGCAAAGCCACACATCTCTCGGACCATGTCCCACGTGAACTTTGTACGTTTGATGAGGCACCCGCGGGGCGGCTGTACCTTGGCTTGCTCACGTTCTTGGTCACCTGTGGCCCTCATTGAGGCCCATGGCACAGAGCCGTGGCTGCTGCTCTTCAGTTTCCAGTTTATGTAAATAGTGTCTACGCATTCAGCGCTTTGCCTTGCAGACTCCGGCCCTTTTCCTACTCATTTAAATAAGGACTGACAGCTGTGTGCCCAGCATCTATGTAGTACCTGTTTAATAAACACTTTTTAAATGAATTATTGTATACATTTTAAACACAGTTGGAATCCAACTCTATTGCTTTTTCAAATGTAACGAGCAAGCACTTACATTGTCCCTATCGCAGGAATTCTTTTCCAGTGTTTTTTCCATGGCTGCTTAATGTTCCAGACTTTAGACACAGCATTAGTTTTTAAAACCAGTTCCTTGTTGTTAGACATTTAGGTTATTTTTGGTTTTACATCATTATACATCATGTAACTTATCCAGAGTTGGTGTGTCAAAAGATGTATGAGTTTTAATGCTTCTGAAAAAAAATTGCTAGATTTTGGGGCAGTTAATTTTTGAAGATGGAGCTGCTAAGGCCTGGTGGAATTTGAGCGATCAGTGGTGTGGTTTGGTGGGACAGATGTTGGCCTGCGAGTCAAGTGTTGGCTCTACTGTGGCCTGCTGTGTGACCTCAGACCCTTGGCCTCTCTGTGGTTCAAAGATCTCCCCTGTAAGGTGAAAGATTTAGACAGGCTTGGAAGCATGAGCTGTCCACATTGCTCCCCAGGCTGGCGGGCTGTTACCAGGCCCTGGATGGAGGCAACACGGCAGACGCGCTGGTGGACTTCACAGGTGGCGTTTCTGAGCCCATTGACCTGACTGAGGGTGACTTCGGCAATGACGAGGCCAAGAGGAACCAGCTCTTTGAGCGTATGTTGAAGGTGCACAGCCGGGGAGGCCTCATCAGCGCCTCCATCAAGGTGAGAACACAGAGCAGGCCCCACAGGAGGCTCCTCCCCTTACTGACCATGACTGGATGGAGGCAGCTGTGACATCGCTGCCCAGGAAGCTCCTAAATCCAGATGCTCAGCCTCATGGGGGAGGAGGGCAGTTAGAGAGTACAGCCCCCTCCCCAGTGCTGGGCAGCACAAGCCACGGACCCCCTGCCCTAACCCCCTGTGCTGTGAAATACCTCCTTCATACTGTGCAGCCATCACCCCTCTTTCTGACCCTCTTGGTTAAAGGGTGTCCATGCATCTGAGAGTCCCTCAGTCAAGGTGTGCAGTCTGGAAGCTAAGGGGTTACTGGAAGAGGGGAGGGAACCCCTATTGCATGTGTCACAGGCCTGGGTGCTCCAAGAGGGTCATCTGATTTCTTTCATCGCTCATGTTTCAGATGAGAAAGCTGGGGCTCAGTGAAGGCAGAATTTGAACGCAGGTTTAGCTGACCCTGTGGCATGCCAGTACACTGGCTCTCTAGAAAAATAAAAACCCCTGCTGGCTGGTTAGCTCAGTTGGTTAGAGTACATCCTTATAACACCAAGGTCATGGGTTCAGATCCCAGTACCAGCCAGCTGCAAAAAAAAAAAAAAAAAGCCCTGATTTGTAGCATTTGCTGATTTCTGTGGTATGAATACTCCCACCATGGTTGATTTCCAGCTCTCAGAATTCCCGAATATTCAACAATCAGTGAGCTGGTGCGAGCTGGCTCCAGCACACCCCTGGGCTGATGCCACTGCAGGTACCTTCCTTCGCCCAGACTGCTGCACCAGGGGGGTCTGTGAAGGCCTGTGAATACAGCACTGCTGCCCCCAGTCACAGTGGAGCAAGATCTCCCTTTCGTGTAGGGCTGCAGTTCCTGTCCCCACCTTCAGGGAGCGGTGTGGCCTCCTGGCTATAGCCTCAGCTCCTGAGTCCCACCTGTGTTTGGTTTCCATCTGGCCCTGCCTCTCTGACCAGCTGTGTCCTCCTGCAGGCAGTGACAGCGGCTGACATGGAGGCCCGCCTGGCATGCGGCCTGGTGAAGGGCCATGCGTATGCTGTCACTGATGTACGCAAGGTGCGCCTGGGCCACGGCCTGCTGGCCATGTTCAAATCGGAGAAGCTGGACATGATTCGCCTGCGCAACCCCTGGGGCGAGCGGGAGTGGAATGGGCCCTGGAGTGACACGTAAGGCTTGGGGATAGGGGTGCAGGCACAGGGCACAGGGGCTTAGGTAGGATGGGGTGGGCTCCCTGGAGGAGGTGGCACTGGGGCTGGGCCTTGAAGGAACTGGGGGGAGGATATTAGGAGAGAGGAAGGGAAACTTATTTTGGAGTGGGCGTGTGGAGTGGCGGATTGAGCACAGGAGGAGACCTGGAGGTGTGGGCGAGCTGGCCTTTGTGGACATAGAGATCATCTGGTGAGTGACGGGGGGTGGAGAGCAAGAGGGATACCCCAGTGGGGAGTGAATGGGGGTGACTGCTCTGTATTTGGCTCATGGCCCTAGTGAGGCCAGGAGGAGAGTGGAACCCAGGTGCCCAGTGAAGGAGCCCTGTCCACTGGGAGTCACATCCCTTGCCGCAGCCTGCAGCTTTGCTTCCAGACCTCCCAGCCCTGGGCATGGTGGCAGCCCACAGTTCCCTGCAGGAGGAGCAGACAGGGCTTCTTGGTGCGAGGCTGGCTGTCTCCCGGGTGCCCCTAACCACACCACCTGATGGAGGCCTGGGGGCTCCTTGCCCTTACTGAGGTGGTCCTGGGGGACCCTCCTCTTAGATTGCTCCCTCTCTTCTCCCGGGCACTCACATCCCAGTTCAGAGGAGTGGCAGAAAGTGAGCAAGAGTGAGCGGGAAAAGATGGGCGTGACCGTGCAGGACGACGGCGAGTTCTGGTGAGTGTTCCTGCCAGGTGTCTGCAGCTGAGGGTGGAGCCTCCTACGGGCCTGGCAGGGAACGCCAGGCAGGGAGTTGGGAGCCAGAGCTCCAGCATGTGCCCCATCATCAGCTGGCTGTGTGGCTCTTGGACAAGCCACACCATGTCTCTGAGCCTGTTTCCTCCTCTGTAAAATTAGTTGGGCAGTATAATGGGCCCTTTTATCCCCAAAGTCCCCTCTGCCCACCCGAGGGTATCTTGGGCTTCCCTGGCCCCTAGCTGAGTCCTTGGCAAGCAGCCCAGGATGCCAGCAAGTGGGGTGATTGCCCAGAGCAGGGAGGAAGGGGGAGGCCAGCTCCTAGTCTGAGGCTTGGTGGCAAGGACAGAGACCTGGCCCTGAGGTGAGAGGACACAGCTGGGTTTGGAAGAGTGAGCTCAGGGAGGAGAGGGGAGCTGAGGGGGTGTGTGGGTGGGAGGGCCAGGAAGATGCAGCTGCCCAGCTGATAGAGCCCGTGATCACTGCTGCATTCAGTCCACCCTCATTCAGTCCCCTCTGTGCGCTGGGCTTAGGGTCATTCTTCACACGACACTTGATTTGGAGACTCAGCCAGTTCCTGGGGGGGTATGGGGTGGTCTGTGTCTGGTGGAGGCCATGTGGGCCCCCAGGCAGACCAGGGGCAAGTGGCAATGATCCTGGCACCCATGAGGATCCCTCTTGCAGGTGTCAGTCAGGGGAGTCACCACAGGAGGCCACCCAGACCCTTTGGTCTGGGCTCCTGTAGACAAGATCTACTATGTCCAGTCTGGCTCAGGGGTCAGTAGAATTAAAACATGAGCCTTTCTCACACATGGCCACACTCAATGTTCTTCCCTTGCCCCTGCCCCAGCTGCTGGAGGCGTGCACAGCACACAGCGATTGATCGTGGTAATGCCCTGGCCACTGCAGCATGCTCACCACGGGGTTCCAACCACCAGTTGATTCAGGCCTCACAACAGCTGTGGAAGATAATGGAAGGAAGCATGCTTTATAAACTGTTGAGGGCAGTACACATTAGTTACTGATAACATTAATAATTGTGACATCCAGGCTCTGCCAACAGCTCTGTCTGCTGGAAGTTGTGCTACGTGCTTTTATTGCGTTACTTTAATTCCTACTGTAGCTCTGCAAGATAGGCAACCATTGTTAGATTCATCCCCATTTACAAGTGAGGAAATTGAGGCCAAAAGAGTAGTTAAAGGTCCTCGTGATGCCATGTTCATACTCGCTCCTGTGTGGGCCATGGTTCAGAGCACATGGGGTGGGTGGGTGGGCAGGCCAAGGGGGCTGCCTGGCTCAACCCCTCCCCACGCTCAGGATGACCTTCGAGGACGTGTGCCGCTACTTCACCGACATCATCAAGTGCCGCCTGATCAACACATCCTACCTGAGCATCCACAAGACATGGGAAGAGGCCCGGCTGCGCGGCGCCTGGACACGGCACGAGGACCCGCAGCAGAACCGCAGCGGGGGCTGCATCAACCACAAGGACACCTTCTTCCAGAACCCGCAGGTGGGTGTTCCCTGAGACCCCCTTGCCACTGTCCTGCCAGGGACTCCTGCATTATCTTGGGTGTACCCCTGCCCCTCTTTAAGCCTCAGCTTACCCATCTGCACAGTGGGGTTGGATGGGTAAATTGGTCCTGTCTGGGGGTCATGAAGCCCCCAGCCTCACAATCTGACCCAAAGATAGTAAAAAAATGAGGTAACTGTGGCTCCGAGGGACTTATGAGTGTCTCTTTCAAAGTTACAAGGACATTTAGAAGTCGAGCCAGGGACTCAAACCTCTTTTTCCACAACAGCACAATTCTGCCCCCCTGGGGGACTTGGCCCAGCTGGGCTCCCCCACAGGGACCTCTCCTCTGCAGTTTCCTTAGTCATGACCCATGGCAACTACTAAATGGTCATGCTCGATGTGCCTTTATTGAGCACCAATTGTGTGTAGGCTCCGAGCTGAGCACCTGCTGTCTCATTGAGTTCTCCCAGTCTTCACGCAGGACAGCCATGTGGGCATTGGTGGGCCCATCTCACAGAAGAGGGACCAGGGCTCAGAGAGGCGATGTGACTGGCCCATGCTCATGCAGCCCACAGTGGCCAAGGCCTGGCTGTGAAGTCCAAGCCTACGGGAGCCAGTGAGCCCATCTTTGCCATGGTCTCACTGCAGTGTCTCTCTTTCCTTGGCCATACCTGTAGTACATCTTTGAGGTCAAGAAGCCAGAAGATGAAGTACTCATCTGCATCCAGCAGCGGCCGAAGCGGTCTACCCGCCGCGAGGGCAAAGGCGAGAACCTGGCCATCGGCTTTGACATCTACAAGGTGAGGCCAGCCCTGGCCCCTGGTGTGGGTCAGGAGAGCGAGGGAGCTGGAGTCTGGGCTGCCTGCAGCTGGGGCAGAGCACTCTAGAACACCGTGGTCACTGCCAGCCGCCCTGGCTACGTTGGCTGACATTGTGGGGATGCTGTGGCATGACCCCTGTTTGGAGTAATTACAGAGGGCCCTGCCTGCCTGGAATTGGCTTCTGTGGGGGCTCTTGGCCCGATTTCTTTCTGCTCAAGACTCATAGTCCTGGGCTGTTTGGTAGATGAGGTGGGAGAGGCTTGCTGGTGTTTGGGGCCAGGCTCTGGGAAGTTCTGGGTATCGAATGGGCCCCTACGGCTCCTCCCTCGTGTCTCAGAGCCTCTCAGCTCCTGCAGCCTCCCTGCATTGGAGGCCTTGCTGGGCACGGGAGGAGGTGTCCTTGGGCAGAGCCAGGTGGGCTTGTCCTTGGGCAGAGCCAGGTGGGCTCACCCCAGGCTGCTTCTCCTGGCCTGGAACCTGAGGCCTTTCACATGTTTTGATGGCCAGTGTGTGGTGACAGTCGGTGTAAGGGACCCCATGAAATCACATGGACATGCTGGATGCCTAGTCCTGGCATTGGATGTGCTCAGTCATGTCATGGCAAATTGTCCCCATCATTGTGCTGTATGCTCATTGCATGCTGACGCTGTTGCGACTGGCATGTCATGACCTTCACTAGTGTGGCCATCGCATTTCATGTGCCACTTGTTTTGGGAATCGTCTAGCATGTCCTGGTGGTTGGTGATGTCACCTCATGGACACATGCTGTGACTGAGGCAGATCGTGATACTTGGTTCAGTTCTGACAGTCAGGAATCCTCTAGTAACAATGTCTGTGGGGTTCATATCACCCCTACCTTTTTAACAGCTTTTATTGAGAGAGGATTCATAGAGCATACAATTCGCCCATTTAGAGTATGCAATCTAATGACTTTTAGTGCAGTCACAGAGTTAGGGCAACCATCACCACAGTCAATTTTCATCAGCCCCAAAGAAACCCGCTCCCTTTAGCCATCACCACCCGATCCCATTGACTCTCCTCCCCCTCAGCCCCAGGCAACCTCCCCTGTCTCTATAGATTTGCAGATTCTGGACATTTCATTTGAGTGGGTTCTATCGCCCCTTTCCCGGTGGCAGGGAGGTGAGCGGGCTGGGTGGAGTGGGAGGGGCTCCGTGTGGCCCAGCCCCGCCGCTCCCCCGCTTCCCGGCAGGTGGAGGAGAACCGCGAGTACCGCATGCACAGCCTGCAGTACAAGGCCGCCAGCTCCATCTACATCAACTCGCGCAGCGTCTTCCTGCGCACAGACCAGCCCGAGGGCCGCTACGTCATCATCCCCACCACCTTCGAGCCAGGCCACACTGGCGAGTTCCTGCTCCGAGTCTTCACCGATGTGCCCTCCAACTGCCGGTGCGTGGGGCTGGCTCGGGGCCAGGGTTGGTGGGGGCGGGGCCCACACTGGGTCCACCTGGAATCTGCAGCTCCAGAGATGCTCAGTGTCTGCCCAAGGCCTCCAGCCTCCCTGGGCTGACACTAGTGCCCAGCTCCTTCCTCTCCTTTCTCCTGCTTTCCTGTCCCACTGTCCCTCGGCCGCGAATAGGGACAGCGGCTCATATGTGCACTGCACTTCACAGTTTGCAAAGATGCTTTCACTCATCTCATTTGATCTTCCCATACCCCTAAGCAGGACTGACCACTCCATTTTACAGATGAGATAGGGGATTGAGGCTAAAAGGGATGTCCAAGGTCATGCAGCCAGTGGTGAAGTTGGGCTGGGCCACCCAGACTGTCTGATTCCAGGGTCAGGTTCTTGTCACCACAGTCCCCTGTCCCAAGAGGCTGATTCTCGAGTCCAGTGGACTGCTAAAACTATCCCCATCCCTTCGGGGGTACAGACCCTGTGGGTTCTGCTCTGCCCTCCCCACCTTGGTATGCAGCACAGACCAAGTGTCCGCAGAAGGACAGGTGAGCCCTGCCCACACCCAAGACCAGGAGGCAGCTTGTGGTGAGATAGAGTCAGATGGCCTTGGGTCCTGCCAGCCCAGGCTAGATCTATCACCTTCCAGCTGTCTGGGCAACTCCCTTCACCTGGGTGAGCCTGATGCTTCCTCATCTGGGAGATGGGTATAGTAATAATCACTTATCTCCCAGGGCTTTGTGAGGATTAGAAATAATACCTGTAGCACCCTGGCAGAGGGCTTGGCACACAGTAGGTGCTCAGAAAATTGCTTTCCCCTTGGGGGAGGATGGGGCACCCTTGGGTAAGGATGAGAAGGCAGGAAGCCCATGGGGGCTGGATAGTTGGGGACTGCCCATGCGGATTTTCCCAGGACTAAATGAAGTAAGTGTCAGGACTAAACGCTGCTCCTCTCCTCTCCCTCCTTCATCACTGACCCCCTCCTCTTCCTTTCCCCGCATCAGGGAGCTGCGCCTGGATGAGCCCCCCCGCACCTGCTGGAGCTCCCTATGTGGCTACCCCCAGCAGGTGACCCAGGTACATGTCCTGGGGGCTGCTGGTCTCAAGGATTCCCCAACAGGTGAGTTCGCCCAGGGAAAGCCCCCGGCCTTCCTGCCGGTTGCCCTGTGTCCTCTCCCTGCCAGCACAGACACCCAGCCTCCAGCGCTCTCCCGCTCCCACTCAGTGAATCAGCAAACCTTTCCTGACATCCACTGTAGACCCAGCCATCCCTGGGGTGATGACATGCACATAGAGAGGAACAGGTCTACCTTCTGCTCTCGGGGACCTGCCAGTGTCAGATACAGGAACAGACAGCTGGCAGGGAGGGCTCAGGGAAGGCTTCCTGGAGGAAGTGGCCTTTCTCCAGCTGAGGAGGTATTAAGGAATAAAGCCTGGTAAAAAGGGGTGGGGGGACAGGTGCTCTGGACGGAGGGAACAGCATGGGTAAAGGCCTGGAAGCCAGAGATTACCAGTATGCCCTGCTGGTCTGCCTGTCTCTGTGAGATGGGTCATTCTCTGGTCTCCCCTTCTCCTGAATAACTGAGCCCAGGTAGACATCTCACCTGCCAGACATCTGTCCTATCTGGGCCCCATTCCAGCCCCCACCCTCACCCCATCTCCCACTCCCTCTCTGTAGGAGCTAACTCTTATGTGATCATCAAGTGTGAGGGGGACAAGGTCCGCTCGACCGTGCAGAAAGGCACCTCAAAACCTGAGTACAACGTGAAAGGCATCTTCTACCGCAAGAAGCCGGGACAGCCCATCACTGTCCAGGTGAGCCCACCTGTCCAGAGGTCCCCTCCTAGAGCCCCAGCCTGAGGCTTCCCCACTCACATGGGCAGGACCCAGAGTGGATGAGCCTTTGAGGGGGACCCAGGCGTGCCAGGTTCTGGTTCTCGTTCTGTCCTGACCCTGGTGTGGCCTTGGGCGTTCTCTTGCTGCCCTTCCTGCTGCTCCAGAGTCCCCCTCGGTAAGTGGGTGAGTTGGCTTAGCCAACTGAGATTCTGAGACCCAGCAGGGTCAGTCTCATGGCTGGGGACAGTGGTCACCTCTGCTGACCTTGTCCAAAGCCTCAGTAGCTGTTCTTCCAATTCCCCCGTCAATGGATCCACCTGGAACAGTTGCACTGAGACATCTGTGGTGGGGTGGCTGTCTCCTAAGAGCCTTGAGCAGGGACCAGAAAGCCAGGGTCCTTGGGTCTGGGCTTCCTTCTCCTCTCAGTGGACAGTGATTCTGAGCTTGTTAACAGGAAGCTTTCTGTCCCCCAGGCCCAGGTCTGCATCTCTCTGGGTGAGAAACCATCTGTAAACAAACACTCGGGTACCCTGGGGGAGCCACTGAAGCTTCTCCAAGCTTTGTTAACACTGGTCCCACTAGATCAAATCACACACTCATAGGTATAGGGACTGGAAGGACCCCTAGGGGCAGTTGATCCAACCTTCATATTAAAGGTGGGAAAACTAGGGCAGGGGGTATGTCACTTGTCCAAGTTCACACAAGGTCAATAGCAGAACTGATAATAACATTTAACTTTATACGTGGAAAGGAGCTTTGGCAGATGGAGAGCCTGAGGCTCTGGAAGGGCCTGGCCTTGCCCGAGGTTCACGGTAAGCAGACAGTGCAGGGCTCCTTTTCCTCAGCCAGCCGTGCACTGCCGCCACCACCCGCACCTCTCATAGACCTGTAGTCCTGGTCTCGGAGATAGCCTCTCCCACCATCCTGTCTCCTCCCAGATCTGGAACCACCGAGTCCTGAAGGATGAGTTCCTGGGCCAGGTGCACCTGAAGGCTGACCCAGATGACCTCCAGGCCCGGCACACCCTCCACCTCCGAGACCGCGATAGCCGGCAGCCCAGCGACCTGCCGGGCACCGTCGCTGTGGACGTCCTCAGCAGTGCCTCCCTGACAGCTGTCTGACACCCGCCCACCCACCTGGCCCCAACAGTTCTCACCACCTTCTGCATGTTCCCACCAGGCTTGGGACTAGCCTGGGAGCGATGACACTGGGATCCTTTTCCCACTCTTCTACTGACTTACTGTGTGACTTTGGGAGGTCTCTGCCCCTCTCTGAGCTTCAGTGTCCTGAGGGCCCCAAAGCATTCACTTCTCATGGAGGAGTCTTCTTGCCTGAGATTTCAAATAGCACTCCCCTCCAACTGTCACCACTGCGAAGGGACTCTATCCGTTGAAAACATTTTCCCAAGGCCCTGCTGTCTGCCGAGGAGTGCCAAGATGCCACCTGTTTACACACAAACGGCCACGTCCCTAAACCCCATTCTTGCCCCTCATGTCCTGGGCATGCCACAGTCTCCCAGACCTCACTTTCTCTTTCTCTGTCACCTTCACCTGGTTTTCTAGCCACCTTGAAAGGACTTGGCTCCTGCTGGGTTCCTGCTCAGGCTGGAATTTGGGAAATGCGCAGGTGACATTTGTTTGTTCTCTAATCCTGTCCACTCACTCATTCACTTATTCATTCAACAGAGATTTGCCAAATGAATACACAACACCCGAGAGGCTCCAGGTGAAGCCGGCCCCTCCCCCACCTCCGCCTTGGGCCTGGCTTCTGTCCTCAGGTCCTCTCACAGGCAGACACCCCAAGGAGCTGCAGCTGCCTTCTCACGCCATGTTCTAATTTTATTCTCAGCCCCTGGTTTAAGGTCCCCGGAGAGGTGGTGGCAGTGGCAGTGAGGAAGGGCCATCTTCCTGCCTCCTCTGCCTGATGCTGGAAGAAGCATGCTTGGGTTAGTGTGCCTGGGGCCAGACGGGTAGAAGGGTCCTAGGGGGAGACACATGTTCCCAGGCCCCTCTACTGCAAGACCCTGGTTTCTCCTGGGAGAAGGGAGTCTGGGCTGGGTGGGGTCAAGTCACCCACTGGGCTTGGCAGGAGGTGGGTGACTCCATCGCCTGACCAGAGGCCACGTCCACCAACATTCCCCCCAAATGCAGCCAAGGAGGCCACAGTGCGCTTCTTGCTGCTCGGACCAAAATGTTCCTTTTAGTCCTCAACGTTTTATATTCTTTCCGTTTTAAAAATCTCAGTTTTAATCAGGGGTTTTTAAGGAAAACTGAAAGCCTAAACATGTTTTTCCTTCTTAAAGTCCAGTTTTGCTGGTCATCTGATTTTATTTTGATTCTACTTGGGAAGGGGCGTGGGAGAAGTTGTACCTTCTCAGAGGAGGTCTGGAGGTGGACGAAGAAGAGGAGGTTTTGTGCTTGACACTGAGGGTCTTGCAGAACACTTCTTGAGTGTTGGTGCCGTGACCCACTTAGGGGCCTCTCTGTGCCCTTCTTGGGCTTCCAGACCAGGAGTGACAAGTGAAAAAGTGCGGTTGGTTCAAGAACGGGAATTCCTATGGTCTCGCTGGGAATTCCTTCTCAGAACCTGAATTTTCGACTCCAGATCTCTCTGGTCCAGTGTTTGGCTGGAGGTGCTGGATTCTCTCTGACTTTCCCTCCTCGAACTGCGGCTGGCCGTGCTCCTGCATCCTGGCCCTGGGTCACATGAAGGCCAGGAACTGAAAAATGAGAATGAGAAGATTCCTTTTCAAAAGCGAGACTTCCCTTCAAGAACCTGGGCCTGGGGCCAGGATTCTGCACATGACCAGGACCAAGTCATTTAAACCTCCTGTGCCTCAATTTCCTCCTTCTTCAAAGTGGGGCCAATGATTCTTGTTTGTCAGCACTCTTACCAACAAGTGCTGAGTAAGGGCAAAGTGACACCCCGCTCTCTACGTATCTCTGTATGCATACACTGTGTACACATTCATGTACCACTGCTTCTCAAAGTCCAGGTCACGTTAAGACTCCAGAGCTGGGGGTGGAGAGGTGAGCACTGGGGAGACCAGCATGGCCCTCAGGGGCTGACACGTGTCTTTGCTCAGCCATGTCTCCCTGGGATATAGTGGCAAGCCAGGACCAGTGGCAGACCTGTGTGAGCTTCAGCCTGGGGCCAAGCAGTGTTGCCCACCGCCAGCAGAACTGGTTCGACAGTCCTGCTCTTGCTTCCTGCCCCTTGAGGTAGGCCAGGCTGGTTTCTGGCTATGTGGTGATCTTTGGTCCCTAGGAGGCCTTGGGGACTAGGCAGTGAGGATGTGGTGGGGGAGCAATCGCTTTGCTCACCTTATGCACCCACAGGGGCCTCAGAGCCCCCACTTGCAGAGGGGTGAGGCCTCCAGCCCACAGCACCCGGACCAGAGCTTCACTCCTCAGGACCCACTACAGGTTCAGGGAGAGAAGGCCTGTCCTGTTCTCAGAATAAATGTTGCCACAATTCCAGAAAGAACTTCCTGTGTCTGTCTGTCCCTTGGGAGGGAGGGGACAATGAAGGGAATATTTCCCAGGACTTGGGAGCCACAGCTGAGGCTGGCCCCTGCAGCCTGCCCGGGGCGTCTGTGAGCTGAGGTCACAGGGGTAATCCAGTCACTGCTCCCTCATCCAGCAGATCTGTATGGGGCAGGCTTTGTGCCGAGCTTGTCCCAGTCACTGGGGATATTGAACCAGCCGCAGTTCCTGCTCTGGGGCTGTCCACAAGCTAGTGGGAAGACAAAGACAAACACTCTGAATGTGACAAACACGATGCAGAGAACCACTGAGTTGTGCGGGGCTTCCTGGAGGCTGTTTGGCCTGCTGGGTTAAGGAAGGCCTAAGCCCTGATCTGCTTGTTGAAGTACAGGCAGCCCCGTGAAGGGCCACAGAAAGGGGCTGGGCTTGTGGGGGCTCAGGTGTGCATGGGAGACTGGAGCAGAGGCTATGGAGGGGAAGGTGCCAGCAGCGGGAGCAAGAAGCCGGGCGGCGATGGGGAGCAATGGGATAACTTGGGAGGCAGAGTGGACAGAACTCAATGATAGATAGGATTGGCGGAGACAGGTGCATGCAGTGTGGGGGCAGAACGAACCACGACTGGCTCCGAGATGTCTTCATGGGACTGTGAGAAAGGACACAATTATTTATCTGCCTAGCATAGTGCCCTGGTTCATAGCGGGTGTTGAGTAAAGCGTCACAGTCATCATGGCATTTGGAGACCACCCATCCCCCACAACTTTCCTACCGCCCCACCCCCAACAGCTCACCTGTATTCTGTCCCAGCTGCCAGCCATGTGCCTCAGATACCCCTGCGTTCCTCTCCGGGTCTCATTTTTCCCCTCTGTGTGGAGCTGATGCCACTTGGCCCACCTGGCCTGGGAGGCTTGGAGAGAGGTGACTGGAGTGGTAGGTACCAAGTAGCAGCAGCAGGTGTAAGTCCAGGAGTGGGGACGTGTTCCAGAACAACTCCTGTCAGGGCCACCAGGCTGAGGTGCACTCCAACATCCTGGGGTCTTCGGGGCTCAGGACTGTGGGGTCTGCAGGAGCCCAGCCCCAGCAGAGGCTGCCTCCTGACACCGTCGCTCCATCAAGGCTCAGCCTTGCTGCCACAGAAGGTGGGCAGTGACACCTGTGCCCAGCAGGTGGCGCGGTTGGGCCATTAGTCCTCTGGGCCCCATGGCCCCCCCACCCCATCTTCTAGGCAGCTACAGACACACCCCAGATATGGAGGCTGAGGATCCAACAGGACCCCAGAATGGTGCATGGATGGGGATGGCCACCAGGCATGGCTGTTGGCAGGGTGGGACGGATGTTCCAAGTCTCAGTAAGGAGCCTTGAAGTTGCTGTCTTCACCAAGGCTAGTGACAAGGATTTTGTGCTCCCTTCCTTGTGTCTCCCACTTTAAATCACATATTTCACGTCCATTTGCATGTGTCCCTGTTGCATGTGGGGTTGCTCCCAGTCAGCTGCTTTGGCAGTCTGCGGATGACTATAGGACCACATGCATCCCCCCATCCCCCAGAACAAGTTGTGGGAGGCAGTGTGGAGTTGGTGAACTTCAGGGGGACACACCTGAGGGGAGCCCTCAGGAAGTGGGTCTGGGGCAGGGGTGAGGCATGTGTGGGGAGGGGAGAAGGCACCAGAATGCAGAGCTTGCTCTGCACTCTACCTCCTGCCCTGCCCTGCCTGGCCATTGCCTCTCAGAGTCTCAAACAGCCATGTTATGGAGGAGGAAACAGGTCTGGAGGGGCAGGCCAGGGGCTGAGACGCTGGCAAATCAGTGACCAAGATAGGATCAGAACAAGGGTTGCTGCCCAGATGCTGAGACAGCAGGTAGTGGTACCACAAACAACGGAAGGCCCAGGCCCAGGTCCCATGCTGGTCAGTAGCACAGCCAGAGGGAAACCCCAGTGCCCCGTCCTCCCCACTGGGTGGCCAGCATTCCACACAGAGCCCCGGGCAGCCTCTGGACATTAGTCCAGCCCCAGCACAGCCCGTCCCCCACGCTGATGTCACCGCACCCAGACCTTGGAGGCCCCCTCGGGCTCCGCCTCCTGGGAGAAGGCTCTGGAGTGAGGAGGAGAGGGCAGCAGTGCCTGCTGGACAGCCACCCTAGGCAGGAAAGAGAGAGAAACAGAGATGCTGGAAAACTGAAAGGCCCAGACAGACACCCAGAGCAAGCCTTGGAACAAGATAGAGGAGGAGAGGAAGTGTGTCTGCAGTCTCTCCTAGACCCGTGACTCCAACTTCCCCGTCCTCCGTGCAGGTGGCAGCTGCACCCAGGCTGGTGGGCAGCTGGCACCCAGGTAAGGATGGCTGCTCACTGTCCTGGGCATTGGGGGAGGGTTTATTGGACTTAGGGGGAGTCATGGGCTTGGCCCATGTCTGGAGCCCCTGTCCCCACAGCCACTTGCTGCAGGGCCTGGGCTTCCTGCCACCCTTGGGGGCTCAGCCACAGCAACTATTGAATGAAACTGTCCTGAGCCTGGGAAGATGGAAGCTTGTGCCCTGGAGAAAGGAAGAGCCAAGGGGCACGGTGTCCATAGATTGTCTCTGAGCTGGGGCTGGGGGTGGGGGCTTCCTGGAGCCAGAGGAGCAAACACACTGGAGTGGGAGAGAGAGAGTCCTCTGTCCCTGTCTCTTTGCCTCCTTTGGTCTTTCTCTGACACTCTTCATCTCTCTCCTTGGATAAGTCACTTCCTCTGTGCCTCAAATTTCACTACTGTGAAATGGGTGTATGAACCAGCCAGGGCTGCTGTGGGGGTGAGGCAAAATCAGGCATGGGCATAGAAATACAAATGCATTCTGTGTTCCCTGTTGTCAATTTGAAAAGAAATTAACTTGAACATGGTCTAGTTCTTATTTTTAGAAATAAAATATGTATCTCATAGTTTTTCCTAACATGTGGCCCTTAAATTCTCTGCCCTCACCACCCTTCTCCATCCTCCAAAGCCCCGGATCTTCAATGAAAGCACTGGTTCCGGCCCCAGCTCTGTGGCTCATGCCGGTATATGATGCCAGCACAACAACCCAGGCATCATCTTCCGACACAGCTCCCATGCAGCTGCCTGCTGGCCTTTGTGGACTTGACTTCCCAGGCCGGTGCAGGTCTCCGGAAGAGCCGGGTACCTGCTGTGCCCCAGAGCTCCAGGGCAGGGGTCAGGGCTCAGGTGTCAGGCAGTGTCATGAGCAGAGGATCAAATGTCCCAGCTCCTCTGAATGGGCCCTTGTGAAAAATTGATGCTCATCATGGGGGCAAGTCAGGGGCTGGGGGGGCTTCACTGCAGGGCCTGCAGGTTGGGGCTGCCTTTGATAGCTGCATTCACAGGTCCTTCCTGAGCTCATCTCTGGGCCTGGCCCTGTGCTGGACGAGGCTGGAGACAAAGCAATGCTCAGATGCTCTCCCTCTGGTCATGCCCAATCCTGGATCAACTCCCCAACTTTGGAGGCAGAGGTGGGGACAGACCCAAACCCAGACAACACAAGGAATATTCTCAGGGCTGAGATTAAGGAAAACAGAGAGGCTTTTGGCAGTCTGTGGGTGGTCATGGAAGGCTTCCTGGAAGAGGTAACATCTGAACTGAACCATGGACCAGAGGTGGAAATTTATTAGCTAGAATTCCAGGTGGAAGGGCCAGTGTATGCAGAGGCCAGGAGGTGTAAAAAGAGCTGGCATATGTCAGGAATAAAGAGTCACTGAGGATGGTTCAAGTGCTGGGGCAGGGAGGGAAGAAAGCAGTGAGAGGAGAGACCGAGACATCAGCGGGGCCTTCAAAGCCAGGATGGCGGGGGTAGGGGGGCTTGCTTCCTCCGTTCTGACGGCGCTGGGGCTCTGGAAGGGTTTTACGCAGAATGCTCTGTAAGCAGGTCATGCTCAGCCCATGACTTTCCCCTCGGGCCATGTTGCCCCTATCACCCGCACCCCTGGGACAGCTTTGAGCTGGCAGGCCCAGCGACCAAGTCCTAGTCCTGAATTTGCCCTGCCCTTCTGTGTGACCTTGGGCAAGTCTTGGTCCCTCTCTGAGCCCTTTGCCCATATGTTCAGGGTGGCGCTAGACTTGCTGCTTTCTAGGAGCCCTTTGGGAATCTCTGAATGACAGTGGCCAAGAGAAGAGCTCAGCTGCTCTGGGCAGTGGAACTGGTAACGGTGGCTGAGGCTCAGGTCATGTGGGCTGGGCTGTGGCCAGAGCGAGAAAAGCCAGGGAGGGTTCCCTTGAGGGAGGAGGAGCTGGGGCTTTGGGAGGAGCCTCAGTGACCCCAGCAGGCTCTAGGCTTCCAGGGCCAGCCTGCTCAGAGACTTGACATGGTCTCTCCTCCCGCAGAACCGTTTCTGCCAGGCGGGCAGCAGGAGCATCCAACTCAGGACCATGGTGATTCTTCAGCAGGTGAGTGCTCCCCACAGCCCACTGGCCTTCTTATTTCTATACTCTCAGAGCCAGGAAGTAACCTTGTTGGGGGGCTCATCCTACCCCCATCCCATATTCTCTCATCTATATCTTAACCATGGAACACCTTCCCCAGTCCTTGCTCTTGGAAAACTCTTACTTAGACTTCAAAACCCAGCTGTGAAACCTTCCCTGCTTCTCCCAAGCTCAGTCTGGAATCTGTTCTCTCTGATGTACCTGCTGAGGTTCCTTCTCTCATTGACTCACCCCACTGGGTAGAAACAATCCCAGGCATTCCAGGCAGTGGAACAGCATGTGCAAAGGTCCATAAGCAGCAAAGTCCTTGGGGAGGGAGAAAAGGAGGTTGGCGAGGCTACCAAAGCCAGGCCAGGAAGGGCCCTGAGCCTGATTCTTCCTGACAGCCTTGGGGAACAGTGAGTGGGGGGGTGATGTGGCCTGAACGGGAGCCCCCCTGGGGTTTTATGGGAAGAAGCAGAGGTGCTTCCCCCAGCTGAGTCCTCCAGCCCCGCTTCCTACCCAGGGCCACACCAGCCTCTGACCCTCAGCCCTTCCCCGTGATCAGCCTGAGGCTCTAATGAGCTCCTGGTCTCCAGAGCAGGAGCCAGGAATGTGGGCCCTGAGCCAGGTGGGCTGGGCACTGGCCCTAGGGCTTGCGGGTCTGTGTGCTGTGGGGGCTCGGCTGGCCAGCAGCTTCCCGTCCTTCAGGGTCATCTAGAGCAAAGGAGCAGACTTGTCCTGCAGTCCTGAGGCCACATGGGACCAGAGTGTTTGTGTGTGGGTTTGTGCAAGTGTGTATATAGAAGGCAAGTGTCAGGGCAGGATCAGAACAGTCTTCTGTCCCAGGGGCTGGAGGAGACCCTCTCTCGAGCCCCTTGGCCTGACAGCCTGTTCAAAGGCCCATCAGAGATGGCTAGAATCCATAAGAGAATGAAAGTCACATTCACTGAATGTTCGCTGCGTGCCAGTGCCTGGGCCACAGGCGGGGCTGAGTGTGTGGGGACATGCACAGCCCTCCCAGAGGGAGGGCCTAATTCCCTGATAGCTCCCCAGGGAGGGTTTCCCTCAGGGGCTCTCTGAGGCAGGCCTCTGGCTGACTGGACCCCCCATCCCTCCCCCTCCGAATGCCAGCCCACCTCACCCTGTCAGCAGCCTGCGTTGGGAGCACGTATATGTACATGAACACTGTGCTGCCCGACCCTCAAACAGAAAGTACATTTCTGTTACTTCTTTGATCCTGGAAAAGGTCCCGGCTCTGGGGTTCGGCCAGCTCTGTGGTTCCACAGGCAGAGCCCACACACCTGGCCTCCGTCTTGGGCTTTGCTATTGATGAGTGGGAGTACTTTGAGTATGTTACTCAGCCTTCCTGAGCCTCAGTTTCCTCATCTGTAAGGTGAAGATTATAAACCTCCTTTCCTGGCACTGCCACTGTGAGCCCTCACAGGGTACAAGGCACAGGAGATACCTTTACAGAAATGCGCTATGAACCCAATTCTCTTCACTTATGAGAAGAGTGTATTCATTTGTTAAGGTTCTAATTCATCAGAAGTAGCATCCATGGTGGTCCTACTATGTGTCAGGCACTCTATACAGCATCTCATTTTATTGCAATAAAGTTATGGAGTAGGGATCTTTGTGCCCACATCACAGATGGAGAAACTGAGACTCAGAGAGGGTAATTGAAACATAAACTGGGGTAGGTCCAGACAGGATAGGGAGCCATGATGGTGAAGAGGACAACAGCCAGGAAGACGAGGCCTTGGGAGGGGCTGCTGCCCAGGGCACGGAGCTATAGCACAAGGAGCAGGCACAGGGCTTGGGAAGGAGGGGTCAGACTTCCTGAGCTGGGTGACATTTGCAGGACATGGGCTCTTTCCTAGGGACCTTGTGGCAATCTGGGAAGACCCATTGTGTTGATGGCTTCAGGAGTAGGGTGGGGTTGCCGGGGATTCCCAGTGTGTCACAGGCTACCTCCTCCAGCCACACTGTCACACACCTACCCAGCAAAGTGCCACTGAGCCCCTTCTCTGTGCCGGGTGGGACACAAAAGATGTAGAGATAAAGTGACCATTCCCTGCCCTGGAGGATTTCACAGACCAACTGGGGAGACAGCTTTGAAACCCAGAAGAGGGTACCTGTGAATACAACTGTGACAGCCAGAGTCCCAGAGTCCCAGAGTCCCAGAGTGGGATGGGAGGGAGCCTGGGAATGGGGAAGGCTCCTGTCCTGCCTGGGAGGGGAGTGGTCAGGGAAGGCCATGAGACTGTTGCAGAGGCCCCTTACGAACATATGGGGACTGAGGTCTCAGAAAGAAGGACTTGCCCGGGGTTTCAAGGCCAGCTGGTGTCAGGGCAGGAACAAGAACCCAGAGCTCAATGTGCAGTCCTTTAAGGGCCTCAAGGAGGGCTGCTTTGCTTCGCTATGACATGATTTCCAGCTCTGCAGTCGGGGCAGGGCAGGACTGTACGTACTTGGCCCAGATTTGTGGGTAGAGGGTGGTTTGAAGATAAATTTGTGGGCTGTTCATGACAGTTGGATTGACACTTTTAATAAAATATAATGTCCTTTTTTGTTGTTCTTGTAACAATTTTTGACTTAAGGTCTATTTTGCCTCATAGTATAGACATCCCAGCTCTCTTTTGGTTACTATTTGCATGGAATCCTTCCACTTGTAACCTATTTTTGTCTTTGGATCTAAAGGGGATCTCTTGTAGGCAGCATATAGTTGGATCATGTGTTTTCATCCATTCTGCCAAGCTCTGCCTTTTAATTGGAGAGTTTAATCTTTGCATTTAAAGTAATTACTGCTAAGGAAGGATTTCTGCCATTTTGCTATTTGTTTTCTGTATGTCTTGTATCTTTTTCCTCTCAATTCCTCCATTACAGCTTCACTGTGTATTTAATAGATCTTTTCTAATGTATTGTTTGATTCCTGTCTCATTTCTTCTCTTCTCTCATTTCTTCTCTTTTTTCCTTAATGGTTATCCTTGGGTTTGCAATTAACATCTTAAATTTACAATGTAGTTTAAGACCAAATTAGCTTCAATAGTAATTAGAAATTATGCTCCTATGTAGCTCCATCCCTCCCCCTTCGTGTTGTTATTGTCACAGATTACATCTTTGTGTGCCTATTAATATAGATTTATCACTATTTTATGCATTTGTCTTTTAAATCACATAGGAAAAAAGAAAGAGGAGTTACAAACTAAAAATACCATAATTCTGGCTTTTATGTTTACCTAGGTAGTTACCTTTACCAGTGTTCATTATTTATTTGTATGTCTTTTAGTTACTGTCTAGTGTCCTTTAATTTTTTTCCAATTTTTTAATCGTCATAAAATACACAGAACAAAATTCCACCTTAACCATTTTTTTTTTCCTTTTTGTCTTTTTTCGTGACCGGCAACGGGATCGCAACCCTCGGTGTCGCGACCGCACCGCGCTCAGCCGGTCTGTATGTGCGATCCGAACCCTCGGTAGGAGCGCCTCCACGCTCCCAAGCGGTGCACTATCCAGTGCGCCACTGGGCCAGCCCCATCTTAGCCATTTTTAAGTGCACAGTGGCATTAAATACATTCATAATGGTGTACAGCCATCACCACTATCCATCACTTTTCATCTTGTAAAACTGAAACTCTCCCCTTTAAACAATAACTCCCCACCCCTCCCTCCCCAACCCCTGGCGACCACCCTTCTGCTTTTTGTCTCCACCATTTTGACCATTCTAGGTACCTCATATAGTGGAATCAGACAGTATTTGCCTTTTTGTGACAGCTTATTTCACTTAGCATAATGCCCTCAAAGTTCATCCGTGTTATAGCATGTGTTAGAATTTCCTTCCTTTTTAAAGTTGAATAGTATCTCATTGTACGTATATACCACATTTTGTTTATACATTTATCCATTGACGAACACTTGGGTTACTTCCATGTTTAACTACTGTGAATAATGCTGCTATAAACATGGGCATACAAATATCTCTTTGAGATCCTGCTTTCATTTTTTTTCAGTATACAAATGAGAAGTGGAATTGCTGGATCATATGGTAATTCTATTTGTCTTTCTTTAAGGAGCCGCCATACTGTACTATTTTACAGTCCCACCATCAGGGTACAAGGGTTCCAATGTTTTCACATCCTTGCCAATACTTACTTTCTGGTTTTTTGATAGTAGTGATCCTAATGGGTATGAGGCAGTATCTCATACTAGTAGTTTTGATTTGCATTTCCCTAATGATTAGTGATGTTGAGCATCTTTTCATGTGTTTCTTGTCCATTCATGTATCTTTTTTGGAGAAATGTCTGTTCAAGTTCTATGCCCATTTTTGAATCAGGTTGTTTGTTTTGTTGTTGTTCAGTGTCCTTTAATTTTTAGCATTTCTTATAGGGCAACCAGTGACAAACTCCCTCAGCTTTTGTTTATCTGGGAGTGTCTTAATTTCTTTTTTACTTTTGAAGACTCGTTATGCCAGATACAGAATTCTTTGTTCACAGGTTTGTTTGTTTTTTCCAGTATTTTAAATATATCATTCTACTGCCTTATGGCCTCCATGGTTTCTGATGAGAAGCAGCTGATATTCATATTAAGGATTCTTTGTATACAACGAGTCATCTCTCTTGCTGCTTTCAAGATACTCTTTGTCTTTGCCACCTGTGGAAGAGGGGCCTAGTCCCCAGGCCTATTCCTCTCTCTCAGGGGTGGTCTGGGCGAACAGTGGTTCTGGGTCCAGGGAGGGCCAGGCTTTCAGTGCCTTATAGGGTCTCCCCCAGGGGGCCCCTCTCCAGCCACCAGACCTACTTTACGATCTCTTCCCTCTGATTCTCTGTGCTTTGCTGTTCCCTCATCCTCGAATGCCCTTTCCCCTCATGTCTGCCTAAAAAGTCATAACATCCAGCTGTCACCCCTAACATGACTCCCTCAGTTAATAATAAGCAACACTTACACAGCATTTGCTCTAACAGGCACTGATCTAAGTGCATTAC